GCCGTGATCCCCGGCGGCGGCGGCGCTCCCGACATCATCTCACTGGACTGAGCCCAGGGGGCAGCACGGCTCTCCAGGAGAGGCCTCACCACAGCTGCTGCCAGTCTCTGCCACTCGAGCATCTTGGGGGATATTCTTGATATTTATTGACAGGAGTTGCCTTCTGGAAAACAGAGAAGAAGCGATGGGGTTATTATTATTATTTTTTTTTCTTGCTTATGAGGTAGCTGTTGTAGACAAGGCCCCTTCAGAACATGCTTTTATGCTTTTAGCTTGTTCTGGGGAAACTGACTTCTTTTTTTTCTTTGTTGTTGCGGAGTGGATTCCATGAATGGTTTTAAATTTTGTTTGTAAAACACAGCAATAATGTAAAAACAAATTAAAACTTTTGTAATAATAATAATAATTTTAAAAAAGGCACTTAACCACTCGAGCAGCAACAACCTGGACGAAGGTGCAGGAGTGTGAGCATTAATGGATTTTTAGTATTTTCACTGGGGGCCTGTATTAAACTTGAGACAATGAAGCTTTGTGAAATAGCCATGACTTGTGTTGTATGTCTCCTGTTCCCCTCTTCCCTCCTATGTGGGGATGCAGGGGAAGCCTCTGTAAATGGGAACTACTGTTTTGTTTGTTTGTTTTCCTTCTGATTCCTAGTTTTTCCACAAATGCAACGAAATCCTAAGCTGTGACTTCTTCCTTTTAATGTTCTTTGGGCTCAAGAGGGGACAAACTATCTATGCAAAGCCTGCATCACACAGTCTTTGTGCTGCCACGTCAGAACTCCCTCCCCACCGCCGCCGCCTCCAGATGCTGCGCAGTTGAGCTACAGCTGAACTTCCTGTTTTATAACTTTTAAGAGGGGATACAAAAAAAGCCTTTAACCTCAGATTTAGATTATAAAGTGGTTGGTGGCCCTCTTGGAACTGCCACCCCTCACCAGCTGGTCAAGTGAAGTGGATGCTTTCTATGGCAGCTGTTGGGTGACCAAGTAGGGATTGCTTTCTGCAGTGCAGGATTATTTTCTAGGATCTCTTGCTCATGGCTTGTGTCGCTTCAGAAACTCTCGTATTCTCCTTGGGAATACTGCACTTAGACTCACCATGGGGAAGGCTTGGCTTTTTTGGAAGACGAAAGCTGTAGCTGCACAGTGTTCCTGCCTAACTGGAATTAGGTGTTGAGGGCTCAGTGATACTTTGTCCCACACTACCTGGCCTCCTCATCATGATGTTTCCAATTCGATGGTAATAACTTCCTTCTGTTTGACTCCTCTAAGGAATCTGCTGCTGTGTTGTGTGTATGCATTGTCTCCCCACACACAGATAAGGGTAACTTCATCAGTTCTCTGTGGATGAGGTTACAGACCAGGAAAACCACCTTCCACAGAGCTGGAATAATAGAATTGTCTGTATGTTGGCATAGCAGCTTTTCCAAGTGTTTGTGTTTCTGCTGAGTAACTGTATGTGAGATTATTCCTTCCCAAATTACCAGCTTTTGTTTTTTCCCCCATTTCCATTGTTCTTTTTTCTTCAGTAAGATGTCTGGTGCTTTTTTGCCTTCTGTTACTGTTACAGTGTTTGAACCAAGTACACAGATAAGAAATGTTGGAGCAGGATGTATTATTGTAACCTATGTCTGCCCTGTACTCCCACCTTCAATGCTGCATTACTATTGCTCATTGCCTTTTTTTGGTATGATCTTTCAAAGAAGTCTTGAATTCACATGTTGGTCTTAATATTAATCCAGTCTTTCTTCCCCTTTCCTTATCCCTTGAGGTTTTTTTTTGTACCTGTCAAGGATGGGTTTTTAGCATGATCTACTTCCAATAAAGCCATGCTACTCATGAAGTTGTTTTTTTAATCCCAATGGCCTGCAGCAGATCAATGCTTTCTGCATCATAATTGCACAGTGACTTGAACTGTAGAGTGTGGAGAGAGGTTCCAGAGTAATTCTGAATAAAGTGTTTAAAACTGGTTTCTCTTGCTGGAGGTGCTGTTTGTGCTGGGGCAGTGGCTGAACTGGCTGAAAGGATGGGAACATCTCGCCTGTGTGTTGAGAAAGTTCAGTGCCACTGTTAGGACAGGTGCTTAACCTGTTTGTGGTGTAAAACAGAGGTGGGATTTTGTTAATTATTCTGCCCTGTTAGTAGTGACTTCTCAAGGATGAGGGACAGTGGTGTTCTCCAGCTGCTTTAGGCAGGAGTTTTGAAGGTGCATTGAGCTTTAGACCTTCTGGACCCATGACAGCTCTGAGAAATGCACTTGTTTGAGCCTTACCAGCGTAGGACAGAGCTGGGCTGGCAGGGGCTGGTGTAAGGGTTCCTGGGAAGAACATCCTGCTGTGCACACAGTAGGCAATTGGCTACTAGGCTTGGGTGAGGCCTGAATCTGTTAATTCATGTGAGCAGGGGGGTGATGGATACTGAGGGATCAAGTTCTGCAGGGAGCTCTACTCACCCCTTGGTTCACCTTTTCCCACAAGACCATCTGGAATTAACTTCAGTGGTGGATAGAGAGGGGCTGGGGGCTGCAGCTGAACCCAGGCCTGTACCCTTCCTGCACTTCTCTAAGCAAGTCTGTCCACTGTACCTAGATCAGGTTTTGGGTTGGCTTTCCTTCAAATTCTAAATTGCCTCAGAATGTCTATCCAAGAACTTCTAACAGAAGAAAAATCATGAAGAAAAGGTCAGATGACTTCTTACCTTCTTGTTTCCACTGCAGAAGTACCTGGTTACTGGTATGAAGGGACTATATCAAAGACACCTGCAAACCAACTGCAGAAGGGCAGTAAAGCTTGATGAGACTAACACAAAGTCCCCTTGCTGCACAGATAACGAGCAGGCAATGAGACACATGCTCCAAAGATGTGCCCCCTTTTTTCCCCACCTCTCCATTTGCTACATCTGCATTTTCTGGAAGAGAGCTCCTTTAAGAGAGCTAGCTGCTAAAATACTAATTGCAGCCAGGCTGTACCTATTCACATGAAGCCTGGTTTCTAATGTTTTTTTCTTAAGCGGCCAGATGAAGCTGTCTGAAACATTCATGGGCGATGCAGGCAGCACTTTGCTGTCCCAAAATATAGCATGAGCTCCAGGAGGTTCTGCATCTGTCCAGGCACTTTCAGAATTGGAATTTTTCTCTTCTCTTCATACATAGCTGCTAGATGCTAGAAAGCTTCACTGTAACTGCCAGCCTTTCACTGTGAGCCCTCAGGAGCAGAGGGGATTCAAGGGTGGAAATGAAAGCATGAACCTCTGGGCTGAGAGGAGAAAACCTGGCAGTTCAGCAGAAGGTGCTCTAAGAGCAGCCGTGCAGGGAGCTGCTTCCTACACCGAAAGGCAACAGTGACTGGGCAAACTGTAAAGGGCACTACTGCTTCTAGGAAACTGATGTATTGATTTTAATGTGTATTTCTGAGACAGCAATCTGTGATCACAAGATACAGGCAACAACAACTCCACAAGGTCAACTTAGCATGTGATTTTATTTCCTTTTTAGCAGGTGATCATGCTGTCACCACAACACGTTAGCACTGTGTATTTAATGTGACACTGAAAACTTTTCTTCCTGGTTTTATGAGTAAATGGCTTGAGGACAAAACTGGGCACTGCATCACATGTGAAATAAAGTGATGGTAACTTAATCTAGAAGTTATCCAGAGGTGGAATACCCTCCTTAAAGCCTTGGTGCTTAACATGTTTCAGCCACAGCTTGCCCAAGATGAGAATTTGTGTCATAAGATCTCCAGGCAAAATGTGCCAAAATGGACCAAAGACCACACTGTGGAAAAGCCTGGCCAACAGTGTTGGATCTCAAGTCAGCAGTAAAACCCAGTGGAAAGGAAAAAATTAAAATTAAAAAGGGATGAGCCAGCTACAGGGAAAAAAATAAAACTGGTTTATTGTGAATTTCTACATAGACAAAACCCTAAAATCATTCTTCCAGAACCTGGGTAGATACTGTTAGGAAACAGCTCGTTGGCAGTAATTCTTTCAAGCAGGTAGAACTGAGACCAGCTCCAAAGAACTGCAGAAAGAACTGGTGTGAGCAAGTAAGTGGGCAATAAAAAGGCAAACAAACATCAATTCAGACAAACTATAGGGGGAAAATGATGTTGTATATGGCTCAGGTCTTGAGCTGATCACTGCCACTCAGCTTGAGGTCTTAAGTAGGACAGAAGTGTTAGTTCACTGTTCAGAAGCAGTAAAAATGAGAAATGTGAGTACCTGCTAGGAAAGAACAGAAAACAAAGTGTTGTGCCCAGTGGAAGCCTGCACCTGTAAGAGAGAGCTGTGCAGCTGTGGTTCCTTCATCAGAGCAGCAGTTACAGCAGGAACGGTGCAGGATGGGAACACGGATGGACACGGCACTGTGGCTGCTGATGCTCTGTGCTGAGGGGGAGGATGATTCACTTCATCAAGCAACCCCTGGAGGATTACCCACCTGATCAGGAAACCACTGCTGCCCCAGCAAGCTTCTGAAAGGGGCTGTAAAAAGCAAGTGGGACTGTGTGCTTGCCCTGCCGTCTCTCTTACAGGAGCAGTCACTTTTAGCCTCTGTCATGAACATGCTGCTGGGATGCAGTGACATTTAGTCTGGCAGTGCAGGAGCTTCACATTTCACTGGAGATGCACAGGTGTGTCCTTTGCCTCTTTCCCATCCTCCCAGCAGTGCCATCCCCACCTCCTAAGCATTCAATCCCATGAAGAGCTGCTTTCAGGGAACTCAAGACTTTGCTACTGCAGAACTGCACCTAGTGACTGGATTGCAGAATACTGGTATTTTCCCCAGTTTTGGACGGCTGTTTTTGCAGGATTCAGCAGCAGCTTTGTAAGTGTGTCAGGGTTTAAGGCTGGGCCAGCTAATACATGGACTACAGATGCTCTCCATCAATCCCTCCCCTTCCCAAAAGGAAGGAAGAGATAAAAAAATCTTACAGATTAGAAGAAGTTAAAACAACTTTAATGAAAGAGTAACAGTAAAACAAAAAAGGTATAAGGATAATAGGAAAAATAATTACCTATATAAAAAGGAGCCCACATCTCTGTTGCCCAGGCTATGCTCCAGTGGTACCTCTCCTCTGTGGAAACTTGGAGAAGGGAAAAAAACACCCCAAAATACTCAAACCCCAGCCACACAAACACATGTAAACTGTTCTTTTAAGCAGTTAAATTGCCAGTTTAGACTTTGAAAGTTAAGCCTCTCTTATTTCACTGCTGATGACTTTAGCAGTTACCACACTAATACACTTTGGCAAAGCAGCCCCCTGCAAAATAACTCCTGACATTTCTGTCAGTTTTCCTGCACGAGGAGTTCCAGACACACCCCATAAAACCAGTAACCTTTGTGTCTTGGTGTCACAGGATACTCTCAGAACCCTCAGGAGGAGGGGAATGGGACACACAAACAAACCACAATGGCAGAGGGAGGGCTCTGTAACACACCAAGTTGAAGTTTCAGGGGGAGCATAAGAAGGGTCGAATTATTATTTTATAGGTGGTCTTAAGATTGGCACAAGAGGGTATAAAGCCATTTAAGCTACTCAGGCTGGCACTCTGTCCTTCTCTTAAAGATACAAATTGGTACCAAATTTTCTAGCCTGCTGCTGCTGAAGACCAGTTCTTTCTTCCAGGCTTCCTTCAGAGGAAGACCTTGGTGACCTTGCTTTAAAAATGATGGAACGCGAGCCCGGT